ATGGATAAACAAAATGTGGTATACACATACAATAGAGTATTATTCAGCCATACAAGAAAATGAAATTCTGATACATGCTACATCATGGCTGAAGCTTGAAAACATTATGCTAAATAGAGAACAAAAATTTTAATCATGCTAAATGAAGTAAGCCAGATATAAAAGGACAAATACTGCATGATCTCAATTATATGACGTACTTGAAATAGGCAAATTCATAAAGACAGAAAGTAGAATAGAGGTTACCAGAGGCAAGGGGAAGAAGGAATGGGCAATTTAGTGTTTAATGGGTATAAAGTTTCTGTTTGCAGTGATGAAAACATTCTGGAACTAGAGAGTGGTAATGTCTGCACAACTGTGACTGTACTAATACCACTGAATTGTACACTTAAAAGTGGTTAAAATGACAAATTTTATGGTGTTTATTTTTTATCACAAAAAATAAATAGAACTGGCATGTTACTCACAACATGCCTCTTCCCAATGTTACTGATATATACTAACATACCTTAAACATCTTTAAGAATAAAGAAAAATACTGTTTTACTATCACAAATATGAGTGTAAGTATTTAAAAACAGAATCTTTAATCTCAAAATAATTATTGCTAATATTTATTAAACACTTACATTATGCCAGCTACCATGCTCAAATAAACTTCATAACAACACCACATTATGTATTAATATTATCCTAACTTCACAAATAAGGGAGATTCATAGAGGTTATAATCTACTTGCCTTTACTTATATAAATGCTATAAAGGAAAATATTTTTTTTAAATAAACTGGAGAGGGCGCCTGCGTGGCTCAGTCGTTAAGCGTCTGCCTTCGGCTCAGGTCATGGTCCCAATGGTCCTGGGATCGAGCCCCACATCGGTCTCCCTGCTCCGCGGGAAGCCTGTTTCTCCCTCCCCCACTCCCCCTGCTTGTGTTCCCTCTCTCGCTGTGTCTCTCTCTGTCAAATAAATAAATAAAATCTTTAAAAAATAAATAAATAAATAAACTGGAGAGGCCTGAGTAGCTCATTTGGTTAAGCGACCAACTCTTGATTTCAGCTCAGGTCATGATCTCAGGGTGAGACTGAGCCCTGGGTCGGGTTCTGCACTGGGCATTCAAGCCTGCTTAAGATTCTCTCCCTTGCTCTCTGCCCCTCCCCCCACCCCACTTGCATGTGTACTCTAATAAACAAATGAGATATTTTTCTTTACAAAAGTATTTTTTCCTCTTTGGAAAATGAATTATCAGACAAAGCTCTCCTGCAATGGAAATGTCATCCCACATAATTTAAAATTTTAAAATGATTTTGCACATAATTTTTGTGACCATCTCTATTGCATCAAGAAAGGCATATCCTCACAACACTTAATTAAAAAAAAAAAAGGAGAAAGGAAAGTAATATTTGTCAAGCATCAAATCATGTGCCAAACACTGTACTAAGCATTTTACATATTTTCTCTCATTTAATCCTCTCAATTTGGGTGGTAGAATTGCTTGCATTTTACAGATAAAAAAACAAAAATATAGTAATCCACAGTACTCTTATTTACTACTTTCAAAATCTGATAAATATTCTGTTCAAGTAGGAGCCAATTAATTCCAAATGCCTAGGGAATCAAAGAATAGTAGTCACTGCCAAAAGCTATCCCAGATACCTGAAGGAGCCAATATGACAGCCGCCCCCAGCATGTTGCAAGGCTGAGTATTCAAAAGCCCAACAGATCTCACACCAAACACAGTGTGCAAGGGCAGAAGACCATCCTGCTGTACAACTGAGTCAAGAAGAACGGGTTGTGTGGCCTTCTGCTCCAGCATTAGCCCATGACAGCTGAAGAGACAGCCAGATATGGATGGCCCTGAGCCACATGAAGGGGGTTCACACTGCCCTCCTGTATTTGGGTATAAAGACTAAAATCTAAAGCATCTTCTGATGCTTTGGAAAATGAAAACTTTTGAACCTCAGTTCAAGAATGTACAGCAAAATCCATGTAATACATTTTCAGTAAATATTTGGAAATGATTATATTTAACTTTTCCTTCTCAATTATTTTATTAACATCTACATATGTTCAGTTCTCTATTTAAAAAAAAAAGGCAAAACAAAAAAACAAAAACAAGCAACCCTTCCCTCTATTTTATCTTCCACTACTCCCTACTCCTCCAAGCCAATCTTTTGAACAAGTTTGTTTCAACTGCTGTCTACAGAATACATCTTTCACTCACTCCTATGTTTACTCCTATCTGGCTACTCCCTAGCCCACTCTTATCAAACTGCTCTTGTCGAAGTCTCTATTACCTATTCCCATAAGGGCCTTGAAGGGGCTCAATGAAATCCATAGGGTCCCGAAGGGCAAGAGTTTGAAAATTACTCTGCTTGGGCCTGGTTACATATTTTATGGGGCAGCCACCTAATTTGTGGAGGCCAGTGCAAAATGAAAATGTGGGGCATCTTGCTTAAAAGCAGGAAAAAGAGCTTTTCCCTTTTTTCTGTCATCTCTCTCTCTAAACAAGTTATGGTATTTTTTAAAATCTCCTACTTAGTATTGGGGCATGAGGATGTTCACGGGACAATGCAGATTCTCACAGGCACCTAGGGACCACCCACAACTTGGTGTGTAGGGTACACACTAAATCCACTCCTATGCCCATACCCAAGTTCCTGCCAGGAATGGAGGGTGGCAGCAGTCTCTGGACAGGGGCAGAAGTGGGCAGCCAAGAATTCACCCCAGGGAGCTGAGAAGTGGCCAAACCCTGGATCATTGAGGCACCACACCCACAGCACACATACTATTGGCCCATCTGACCTCACATCAAAATACAATTTCAAAGATACAATTATTCAGAATTCTAGGACGATGATCACAGCACATTAAATTCCAAGCACAGGACCCACTTCTGAGCATGGGATCTTAGGTAATCACACTGGTTGCATGCCCATGAAGCTGGTCCTCGCTATGCTATATGATAATCATATTACCGCCTAACATCTGCATAAAACATCATAGTCCATGAAATAGTTCCAGTCTCATTTTTGTCTCACAATAAACCTATAAATAGAGATGAATAGATACCCTCACTTAATAGATAAACAACTGACTCAGAAGTGAAATGCATTGCCCAAGGCATGGAAAACCAAGGTGTTAAACCCACGCCTTCTGGCTCTAAGTTCTTTCCAGTGTAATGTGTTTCCTAAGCAAAGGGCAGATGGGAGGGGACGAGAACAGTGATCATTTCTTTACATGAGCCACTGGTTTAATCATTAGTTGGAAATTATTTCTGTCGAATTTCTGTCAATTCCATTCAGATTTGAAAACTCGATTTTTTAACATTCTAGAATTCAATGGCTTTATATAAACGTGTAATCTAAAAAAAGAAAAAGTAACACCTGCAAAGTTAGTTTTTTACCCCAATGTACCCCCCCCATCCAATATGCACCCTGACTCACCAATCTTGGACCCCCTACACACACATCAATCACCAGCAGTGAGTCACAAAGGACTACAGAGCCAGCATATGAGAGCATGCTATTCTGGGATACAACATACTTTCACTACAGGAGAGCTGATTCCTTGATTTAGTTGGGAGAAAGTTCATCAAAATGCCAGATAGATAGTAACAAAAGGGATGACAGGAAATACTTAGGCTAGGAGATACCAAAATCAAGGAGGGAGCTATTTAGCTCAACCTGACTGTTCCCTACCACCATTCCACATACTTCACTGACTTCAATCTTTCCAGATAGTGAAAATTGTTGCTAAACTTCCTCATGTTAACATAAAGTACTTTATTTTGAGACTTGAACTCTCAACTCATTCGTTTCTTAATTCAGTTACTCAAAAGTCTTCCCTGAAAGCAAGAAGAGAGCATTTTTTGGTTGAACTAATATGCATTTGTTACAACCATTCGCACTGGTGACCCTTCACACTGGCTGATCACCCAGAAAATATCCAAGGAAAAAGAAGTGCAACTGAATGTTAGATCCAAATAGCACAATCTCTCAGCTCACTAGAGCAGAATCTCTCTCTAATACACTGGTCACAGGCTATATTACTAGCTCTTTTTATCCTATCTCTAGGTAGAAAAGCTATAATTTAAACTGACAGCATTACTTGTCATGAAGTCTGTAGGTTTACAATTTCTAAATGTCAGTTTGAACTTCTGACTAGTTCCTTAGAGCACTACTGTTTGTTTCTAAATGAGGCAACTTGTCAGCTCTGCATACATAAAAGCAGTTAATCAGCAATTTGCAGGGCAACACAGGAGGAATCAGCTGGTATGCTAATGGTGAGCCCACAAAGCACCTCCAATTAGGAAAGAAAGCCTTGTCCTATGCCAATAATATCCTCATATATCACAAAATTTATCCTACTACTCAGTAGATGAAACATTTCATACCAAGGAACTTATTATTTTGAAGTAATTGTCTGCTTCCAGCCTGACATACCCATGTTCCCACCGGCCTATAATGGAGGAGCGGCACGCAGTGAGTGAATGAGGACCACGATGATTGCTGACACCTCCTTGCTGTGGCTTCTATTCAGTTCCCAATGGGTTCTTCTTCTTGACCCTGTCCTTGTTTACTATTCTGCTCTCCCCTTTTCTGTGTGGCCTTCACATCACCTGTCTTCAGCTCTCTAAGTAAAATGGGATAGGATCTTACCTGAGAAGTACCGTGGTTCCTCTAGCCTTCTAGAAAATTATTGAACTATGTAACAAAATCCATTCCTAAAACAGCAATAATGATAACTCTAATAATCAGATTATTTCATTAATAAGAACACCCGCTGCAGGCGCAAAAACACTATGGCATAGTCTTAACTATCAACAGGTCTGAGCCTATGGATTGAATTCTAGAATATGGATTGTAATGAGTAAAATTAAACAGTAAGTGAAGGAAAGGAGTCTAAGACACTTTTAAAGGGAATCTCTTCCATTATCTCCAGGATCATATTGGAAAAGAAATGGTTTGTTTGATTGTAGTCATATACTTCACCCACTTACACAATAACCTTTGTCTGTGATTTTGAATTGATCAAGCAAATTTGGTTTAGTGATTGAAGGAAAAGAGCTGCCAGCCAGAATCCAATAATCCATGTTTCCGCATATGAGATATATTTTATTAGAGTTACAGAATAGTGCTTCCAAATATGCTTCAGATTTGTCCTTAGAGCCTAAGACGTTGGTGGGGAAGGGCATGTGGGGGGATGGAATCATTTCTGGATCCAGAGGTATTCACCTGCCTACCAAATAATAGGTAGTATATGCGCAGATCCCAAGAAACAACATGGCTCATGGTAAGCCCATGAGCCACCAGTGAACTGTCAAGCGGATGCACACTGGTAAACGGAGAAGCTATGTTTATGGATCACAATAGGCCAGCCTACAGAGGGAAATTCTGAGACACTGGAGTAGCCTCTTATCATAACGTCAGGCTTTGATGGCTCCTCCTGAGACCATTTGGCCTGGGGATGTGAGACTGGCAGAGCCAGAGCCCAGAGTTCTGATCTACATATGCTCAGGTTGCCCCCATTCTGAGCAATACAGAGGATATTGTAGAGATACTGTATACCTTGAGGTCATCTACTTTAAACCTCTCTGCCCCCATTTACAGAAGAGAAAATCAAGGCCCAGAAGTCATTTGCCCAAGATGACATGGAACTAGTCAAATCAAGCCTGATTCTAAAAACTCTCATCCCTAGTCCAAAACATTTACTTCTCCTTCTCCCCCTTCTTCCTCCTTTCTTCCTCTGCACCCTCCCTCCTCCCTCCCACCTCTATCAGCAGCAGTATCATCTTGAAGCAGCCAGTATCTTTCTCCAAACAAAATTTTAACTAGAAATCCACTATATAAAACAGATTAAAAGCGGCCTGCTTAGATGCAGAGAAGGGGAGACAGAGCGTATGTGCCAGAATCCTACCTGCTTAACTGAGCCTGCAGCCTCCTCTGGGATCCTAGGCAGAACATTATGATCATGGGAACTTCTTCCTCGATAGCTTGCAATAAAGCTAGGTGCAAATACTAATTAGGACCATATTTTTATCTAAAACTATTATTTTCTGAAACACTGGCAAAATATACGTTGGGAAGGCAGTTGCTTTTAAAAATGTTATTTTCCTGTGTGTGTGTGTGCATGGTTTTTTTTAAAAAAGATTTTATTTATTTATTTGACAGAGAGATAGAAGAGCATAAGCAGAGGGAATGGCAGTGGGAGAGGGAGAAGCAGGCTCTGCACTGAGCAGGGAGCCCGATGTGGGGCTCGATCCCAGGACCCTGGGATCACGACCTGAGCCGAAGGCAGACGCTTAACGATCTGAGCCACCCAGGCGCCCCTTGTGTGTATGTTTTTTTAAGACTTTATTTTTTTAGTGCAGTTTCAGGTTCCCAGCAAAATGGAGAGGAAGGTACAGAAATTTCCTATATACCCCCACACATATTTAGCTTCCCCCATTATCAACATCCCCACCCAGAGTGCTACATTTGTTCCAAATGATAAACCTACATCAACACATCACTATCACCCCAAGTCCATAGTTTACATTAAGGCTTACACTTAGTGTTATACATTCTATGGGTTTAGGCAATGTATGACAACATGTATCCACCATTAAAATATCCTGCAGAGTAGTGTCGCTGCCCTAAAAATCCTCTGAGCCACATCTAATTTTTTGTTTCAAAACAAAGTCCAGGGGCACCTGGGTGGCTCAGTGGGTTAAGCGTCTGCCTCAGCTCAAGTCGTGATCCCGGGGTCCTGGGATGGAGCCCCGTATCAGGCTCCCTGCTCAGCAGGGAGTCTGCTTCTCCCTCTCCTGCCCCTCTCCCCTGCTTGTGCTCTCTCTCTCCCCTTCTCTCTCAAATAAAAAAATAAAAAAATCTAAGAAATATATAAATAAACCAAAGTCCAACATTCTCAAAGCTGGGTACAAGGGTATCCTTCTCACTAAGACATCAAGATCAAATCTGAAACTGAGAGACATTAATTTTCTTTCAATACCATCGGCATACATGAACAACTCTGCTGTGATACATTTATTTAGGTGATACTCAAAATTAGGAAATAAGGTCATGAGGTGATTGGCAGTAATGAAACATAAGTGTCATTCCTAACAGCTTAGCTATCAGAAAAAAAGGCACATGAACCTGAAAACACAGAAGCAAGAATTGGGACATTATTTGTAGCAAAAAACATACATGAAATTACCACATGCAAACACTAGACATCCATCTTATTCCCTTGGGTGACTCTTTTCATTAGTGCTAATGGGCTCAGGGCCTCTGTTTGGAGACTATTTCTGCAAATGCTAGAAGAACACAAATCTTGTTCTGTTTGGTGAAGTCCAGTCTCATAAGCAAGAAAAAAATGAAATCAATGTGTTGACATTAACACATGTACACACGCATATTTGTCTTTGTATTACTTCTAATCACTTCTTCCTTTAATTTCAATTTATTAGTCTTTAGGAATCTTGCCAAACATCACTGAGCAATACAAGGGAAAATGAGTACCAAAATTAGATCCCACGGACATTTCTAATTAAATCCCTTTCATCAGGATTAAGAATTTTTTAAAACTATGTGCAAAAAGGCAGTGGCACTGAATGTCATTCACCATAAGCAGTTGAAAAGCAGTAACAGATAATATGGCACATATCAATCAGATATTTATTAAACACCAATTTACACATATTTAAGTGCTAAATACCATGAAAACCTGACCCCCCCTCCAAAAAAACAGCATGTGTCACAATTCAGCAGCTGTTAATTCAACAATTTCTTTCCTCTTCCTTTACATGTATATATGTTGAAAATATCATTCTCGGGGTGCCTGGGTGGCTCAGTCGGTTAAGCGGCTGCCTTCGGCTCAGGTCATGGTCCCAAGGGTCCTGGGATTGAGCCCTGCATTGGGCTCCCTGCCCAGCAGGGAGCCTGCTTCTCCCTCTCCCTCTGCTGCTCCCCCTGCTTGTGTTCTCTCTTTCTCTCTAATGAATCTTTTTAAAAAAGAAAAAGAAAGAAAATACCATTCTTGACATACATTTCTTGATTACTGTCTTTTGTTATTTCCTTTATAATTTACTACATTTAACTATCTAAAGACACAATACCAAATTTCATCCAAGAAGCCTGTGAAGTTAATAAAGAAACTCATGGACAAACAGGTAGTCTTATCTAAGATTTCCTACAGCCTATTCGACATTCTGCCCACAAAGGTAAACCAAATCTAAACACAAGGTATCTTCTTCTCAGCAAGTTTTTCTCTTAAAATACTTCTAATTTCCTCTCCCTTCTCTCAAGCACCCATTCTTTTAACATTTTCTTACTTGGTGAGTTCTAGCCATTGAGATACAAAGATGATCCTTGAATACATCTCCTTCTGAACTCAGTCTGTTAAGAAAGACAGGTAATGCAGATAATGACAATAGAAAGTAGTAAGTAGGGGCGCCTGGGTGGCTCAGTGGGTTGAATGTCTCACTCTTGATTTTGGCCCAGGTCATGATCTTGGGGTCATAATTTAGGGTCATGAGATTGAGCCCTGCATCGGGCTCTGTGCTCAACAGGGAGTCTGCTTGGGATTCTCTATCTCTTCCCCTCTCCTTCTGCCCCTCCCCCTGCTTGTGCATGCTCATGCATGTTCGTGCGTGCTCTCTCTCTCTTTCTCAAATAAATAAATAAATCTTAAAAAAGAGTACTCAATAGAGGTCCACAGTGTTTCAGTGGCACAAAGGAGGGAGCAGTTAACTAAGACAATGGGAGGTTTCTCAGAAGCATTTGGATGGACTTAACAAAGGAGTTGATTGATTCACTGAGAAAAGGGTATCTCAGGCAGAGGGAAGAACTTGTAGGAAGGCAGAGAGGCATGAAAGCCAATGACACAGTCAGGGAATTGAAAGCAATTCCACACAGTAAAACAGGGGGAGATGGGAAGGAACTAGTTATGGTAGGAGATGAACAAGGAGAGTTGAATTGGGGCCAGATTATTAAAGGTCTTGTTTATTTTCTAAAGAGTCTGGTCTTTATCTGTTCTCCTTTTGTTTTCACAGTGTTGAACAATGTAGAAGAAAAGCAGAGGGCACAATAAGAAAAATCCATTGTTTTTAGACAAAGGACAAAAGCAAGGCAGTGAAGAAAGGATAGACTTTTCAACAAAGGGTGCTGAAACAACTGAATATCCAAATACCCCTGCCCCTCCCCAAAATGTAGATCCATACCTCACACCATATATAAAAAAACAACTAAAAATCAAACTTAGACCAAAACATAAAACGTAAAACTATAATATGTCTAGAAGAAAACAGGAGAAAATCTTTGTGAATTTGGAGTAAGCAAAGATTTCCTACATATGACACCAAAAACACAATTCATAAGGTAACAAATTGAAAAAATGGACTTCATCATCAGGGGCTTTATCTATGAAAAAGTAGTAAATAGTTATTTGTAACTTGTGTGAAGCCAGCAGCCAGCCTTAAAATAGTCCTTTCTGGCTAAGGGTAGAACAACGAATACTATTATATATTGTTCGGGCTGCTTTTAGTTTCTCTTAATCAAAATTATTAGATGATAGAATTCAAGAACTTGAATGGATAAAGAAGAGGTGGTATATATACACAATGGAATATTATGCAGCCATCAAAAGGAATGAGATCTTGCCATTTGCAACGACGTGGATGGAACTGGAGGGTGTTATGCTGAGTGAAATAAGTCAGTCAGAGAAAGACATGTATCATATGACCTCACTGATATGAGGAATTCTTAATCTCAGGAAACAAACTGAGGGTTGCTGGAGTGGTGGGGGGTGGGAGGGATTGGGTGGCTGGGTGATAGACATCGGGGAGGGTGTGTGCTATGGTGAGCACTGTGAATTGTACAAGACTGATGAATCACGGATCTGTACTTCTGAAACAAATAATGCAATATATGTTAAGAAAAAAAAGAAGAAGAAGAAGAAGAAGATAGCAGGAGGGGAAGAATGAAGGGGAGTAAGTCGGAGGGGGAGACGAACCATTAGAGACGATGGACTCTGAAAAACAAACTGAGGGTTCTAGAGGGGAGGGGGGTGGGGGGATGGGTTAGCCTGGTGATGGGTATTCAAGAGGGCACA